ACTTTCGTCACTCTGTGGGACACTCTTGCAGGGCACTCTTGTAGGGCACTCTTGCGGGACACTCTTGTGGACTCTTGCGCTTGTGGGACACTCGCGGACGACACTCACATAAGTTGACAGTTCTGAGGCCACAGCAGCCAGAAGCTGCTTCCCGTACTGCATTTGTATGGCACTGCCAATCCGCACTACATTTTAACTACCAAGTGGCCAGTTCTGAGGCCACAGGTCTCAGAACCCATATTGCACTACCAAGTCGACAGTACCTGCCACAAGCCGCTTCCTGTACTACCAAGCGGCCAATTCTGAGGCCACAGCTCCCACAACCTGCCCCCCGCACTGCATGCGCACTACCTAGTTGCCAGTTCTGAGGCCACAGCTCCCAGAAGCTGCTTTCTGTACTGCATGTGTACTACCAGCTCCCAGGAGCTGCTTCTCACATTACAATGATGCTAAAAGTTGCAACTTCTGCGACACTCTTGTGGTGCATGCGGGACACTCTTGTGTGACACTCTTGTGAGACGCTCTTGTAGGACACTCTTGTCGGACACTCTCGTGGGACACTCTTGCAGGACACTCTGGTGGGACACCCTGCCCGACAATGTTGTGGGGTGGGACATTCTTGTTGGGACACTCTTGTCGGGCTTGTGTGGGACACTCTTGTCGGCCACTTCGTGGAAGAAAAGTCTTGTGAAACACTCTTGTGGGACATTGATGTGGGGCATTCTTGCAGGACACTCTTGTGGGACACTCTCGCCGTGGGACACTCTTGCGCGACACTCTTGTATGTCACTCTTGTGGGACACTCTTGTAGGACCCTCTCCTCGGACACTCTCTTGTCGGACACTCTTGCGGAACACTCTTTTGGGACTCCTGTAGGAGACTCTGGCGCGACACTCTTGTATGACACTCTTAAGTCTTGTGGGACACACTTGCGGAACGCCCTTGTAGGGCAATCTTGTGGACACCCTTGCAGGACACGTAGGGCGCTTTTGCCGGACACTCTTGTGGAACACTTTTGCGGAACACTCTTGCTCGACACTCTTGTATGTCACGCCTAGCGCAATCTTGCGGGACACTCTTGTAGGTCACTCTTGTGGGACACCCCTGCCCGACATTCCTGCAACACTCTTGTGAGACACTCTTGCGGAGACACTCTTGTAGGACACTCTTCTCGAAACACTCTTGGAGGACACTCTTGCAGGACACTCTCTTGGTAGGACACTATTGTCACCTCGTCGTACATTCTTGCGGGACACTGTTGTGGGACACTCTTGTAGGACACTTCTATTATAGGACACTCTTGTGGGACGACACTTTTGTGGGACACTCTTCTACGTCACTCTTGCGGGACACTCTTGTAGGACTCTCGTCGGACACTCTTGCGGAACACTCTTGTAGGACACGCTTGTGGGACACTCTTGTAGGACACTCTGGTGGAACGCTCTACTTGTAGGGCACTCTTGTGGAACACTCTTGTAGGACACTTGGCCGACACTCTTGTATGTCACTCTTGCCGGGACACTCTTGCGGGACACTCTCGTAGGTCACTCTTGTGCGACACTCTTGCGCGACACTCTTGCGCGACACTCTTGTGGAAAACTCTTGTAGGAGACTTTTGTGGGACGCTCTGGACTCTTGTATGACATTCACTTCTGTGGGACACTCGTGTAGGAAAGTTTTTGTGAGCACCCTTGTAGGACACTGCGGGACATTCTTTGTAGGACACTTTTGTGGGACACTCTTGTAGGGCTCTCTGGTCGGACACACTGACACTCTTGTCGAACACTCTTGTGAGACACTCTTGTAGGGCACTCTTGTCGAACACTCTTGTGGGACACTCTTCTGTGGGACACTCTTGCGGAACACTCTGTAAAACACCCTTGTGGGCCACTCTTTTGGGACACTCTTGTATGGCATTCTTGTGGGACACTCTTGCGAAACACTTTTATAGTAGTCGGTCTGGGCATTTTGCGGTTGTTCCAAAGTAAAGCGTGCGGCCTCTTTGGCGCAGGGGCTTAACTCGACTGTTGTTGTTTGGTCTCGGGTTTGTTGTTTTGGCGGCTGCGCATTAATCCATTTTGCTGTTATTTCTTCATGTTCTTTCGGCGCTGGCTCTGCTTCTGAATAGTGTTGTTTTTGAGCTTGTTATATATATCAGGCTGGCTGTTCTTTAAATTGTTCTGTTTGTCTTTATGTTTTTGCAATAAGTGTTGTTGTTTATTACGTTTGCTTTTTAAGTTTTTGCTTTGCAATGTTCGTTGCATTGTTTGCGCGCTTGATTGTAGAACATGTTCGCTTTTTCTTTTTCATTCAGAGTCAGGGATAGGTATAAAAACCTTCATAAGTCTAGCGTAGTCTAGCGGGAAGCCCCGCCAAGCAGTTTCGCGATTCCAGCCCTAAGCAACACCCGCCCACGCCAAACCCAATGTCACAGCGACATTCACCTCCACCACAACTCGCAACCTCACGACTCCCTGCGCCTGCCACGAAAATGGCGCCACACCACACGTTTGGAATGATTTCGACACGTTCTGAGCGCACTCCCATCCACCACAATGGCCATTTCAGCTAAGACATGTCGCGAAAACACAGCTTCGAAGCAACAGCCGGAAACGCAAATCCCAATGTCACAGCCACATCCAACGCTCAAACAAACACCACTACCCTCCAAACCTCGCTATTTCACACAAATCTGACACATCATGCTTCCATCCAAAACCTTCTCCAAAAGCTTCGCCCAATGTGAGCGCCACCGCGAACGGTTGCGGACGGTTGACAACGCTTGCGTTCGCTACGACAACGAGTCGCGAACAAGGCTCTACCCCCCAGACACCCAGAATTAAACGAGAACCCCGCGAAAAAGGAACACGCACCGCCCCAAGCGGGTCAAGCCGCTACACCTGGGCAGAGCCCGTGAGTTCACCGGCCTCGCCGAAACGGTGGAACCACGTCCCGCCGCGTGGGACCCGTCGCCGCGTGGGACCCGTCGCGCGTCACGCGTCGGCCGCCTTCATGGGAGTCTGCGGGGGCTGGGGATTCAGTGCTGGGCGAAGACCCTGAGGCAAGGGGTTGCCGATCACGTTGAACTCTGCGCTGAAGAGGATGGCCTTCTGCGCAGCCTGACCCGGGAAAGTCCACTGAAGAAATTGGATGACCCACCTTTCCAACGCCAAGTGTTCAATATCCCAGGACAAACCATCCAACAAAGCTACAATTGTACAGAATTGCACGTCCCAAAGCACTACTACATATTGGGAACCTTTTCTGAACCAAAAGAGGGCTGCAGGTACGCTCCACGTACACTCAATGATGTTAATTATGTCATGTACAGTGAGACTGATCTACCTAAAAAATACGTTGCGCTCCTTCTTGGTAGTGTGAGCGACTGAATTGCAGCTTTGAGCTCACTCTGCCACTGTAATCCATTTCCTTCCATTCAATTCTTGTTTCTCTGCGGGCTTAGTCATGTCTTTCAGAAACGGGGGTCCCAAAGCGTACTTCTGCTGGGTCAACATCTGGGTTTTCCCTTCTGGGCTCTGCTATTGCAAGCGACTGTTCAACTCTGTCTGCTACGTCTTGTTCTCCTCTTCCTAGTAGATCCCCGTATCTTCCTCTCAGCTCCACAAGTTTACATTGAGATCTACCACGCCCGTATTGCCTGCATTCTCATATATTCTGATCCGATTGATATGTCTCTATTTCCTGCTTTGAATGTTCTGTGTAATGGTCCCTCTGATGGATTTGCTCCTTCACTGGCTGCCTCTAACATCATTCTATGTCCTTCGTACCATCCTTCTGTAGCTTCCACAGCCTCCAAGCTCTTTCTGGCTAGGTAGTCTCCTGCGTTGATTTCAATATGTCACAACTGATGATGGCTTGCGTGTTTGGTGTTTCTCTCTCCACAAAGCCATAGTCTCTGAGTAGATGTATCGGATGTCTATCGCCTTCACATTCTCTGACCATACCCTCAAGTTCTATTAATTCACAAAATAATTCATCTGACCTGTAGCGAGTGTAGTCCCATGCTTCCCAAGAGCATTTTTCCACGTGATACTTAAGCTCTTCAAAGCGACTTTGACCGCGCTTGTGGAGTCTCCATAGCGCAAAGATCACTGCTGCGAAACCAATGAACTTGATTGCCATGATCACTATGATTCAAAATTTACAATTGTCATTCAATTCACAATGGGTGTTGTCTTTCCCTTTTAAGAATACCTCTGTAGCCGCTGGGTGCAAGCCCTCAAGCGCAACCATTCTGACAATCATGTTTGGCAATCTTAGTGACTTTTCCTGCAAGGTTCTTCTTCTCTTCAAACACCTTTCTCTCACGCTCTCCTACTCTTGCTTGGTCTTCACTGTGCCAATACCCAATGAGGTTCATCAAGTATCTGATTCTCTCTCCTCCAAGTGGCTTTGTGTTGATGTCTGCCATGTTGCTATCTTTTCGAACTTGTACCATCTTGAAGTCTTTCCTGTTCTGAATCCATAGCAACTTTCCATCCAAATGTCTCACCTTTCCAACTCCTCTCTTCATCACAAGTTGGCGTGCGCTTGAAGAATCTGTCAAGATGTAATGGTCCACGACCTTCGTCCCAAGAGCAAATTCAAGAACCGCGCAAATATAGATTCCATCTGACGCTGAAGAAACTATGGCGTGTAACTCTGCCTCACATGAAGATAAACTTGTTCATTGCATGGAACCCTCCTAATGTTGACTTCCTGTGCGCGGCTTTTGTTTCCACCCCAGTCTGAACCTGAGAATGTTTCCAAGCACCCATAGCTTTTCCTGTCTTGACATAACCTTCTCCTGCTTGTAGAAATTTCAAGCATCCTTTTATCCTCTTCACACGATGAAATGACATAGCTGTAGGGTTTGTTTGACATTCTTGAAGCCAATCCCTTCACTGTGAATGCTACATCATACCTCTCTTGACCTAGCTAGATACCTGATCCAACAATGCTTCTGAAAAGGCTAGTCTTCCAACTGAATTGCGTTGTCTGATGGTAACTGCTGAAGTTTGATCTTGCCAATTTGCGCTTTATAGGCTTTCAGCATCTGCTGGATGTAGTTAGCTGGTTGGGTCCATAGTCCATGTTTCTCTATTTTGCACTGTCTCCTCATAAAGTTCAACTCATCACCTATCTTCTCGATCTTGCTCACACTGGTGTAAAAACTTCATTCATGCGCTTTGAGTCTCCTGTGAAAATCAAGTCGTCCACACGGATCAAAATGATACCCTCCTCATTTTTCCTAGGCACGGACACTCAGCACTGAACTTGTAGTTGAGTTCCTCGGTGAGGTACTCTGTGAAAAGTCAAACCATGCTTTTGCCCCAACTCTCTGTCCAGGTAAATTTCTCTTCCCCAAGAATTCTTCTCCTCTCAAGTTCACTTTCAATGGCTTCTCTTGTGGAACCTGCAAGAATGCGTCCTTCACATCAAGACATCCTAGCATCTGTGAAAATGCTCCTTCTCCCTCTCTCGCTTCTTCCTCTTCGCTGGCTTTCTGCAAGAATATTGTTGGTAGAAGCTTCAGTACATGTCCTGAAGTCGCTGGTGACAAAATATCATCTCTCTTTCCTTCAGCGAAAGCAAATTCTCTTGCAACTAGTCCTGACCTGGCTTCCACCTCTTCATTGATATTCCATCTCCAAGGTGGTATGTTCTTTCTCCAATCATACACATTGCGGGCTGTCAGGTAACTGATTCCTTTTGTGGTACAGTCTGGTTTCTCTAGCGCCTGCATCTTTTGGAGTCTTCTCTCTTCCACTTCATCGGCTACTCTATCAACCAATTCTTCTGGATCTCCTTCTGGCTCATGTTCTCCGTCACGCCACAAGCATTCAGGTCCATTCACTTCATCTTCTTCCGGCTCATCTCCTCATCATCCCACTCTTCTTCACCAACTTCTTCTGCAACTGGGGATAGTTCTTCATCCACATGATAAAGATCTTCACCTGCAACTTTCACCACATTGATCCTGGCTTGCTTACTTGAGTCATCTGGTGGCCTGAGCTTCTTCATTGGACTCTCCTCCTCAAGCAGGTCAAATGCTTCTCTTGGTCCGATATATAGGAGTAACTGGAATAGTCTGTCCTGCTGGCAACGCTGGCAATGCTTCTGCTCACCTCTTTGTGGCAATGATTCTGCCTGCAAAATTGATTTGATACTCCCGTGGAAAGGCATTGATGCTTTTATAGGTGGGTAGATACTTGGATCAATCTTGATCTGTCATTCTGATGCGTGCGCCAAGCACTACCTGCACTCCATCTGTAAGCACGTAGGTGTCTTGCCTTTCAACCTTTCCCAAGAACAAGCATAAATGCAATCTTGCTTCCCCCTTATTTATTGAGGCTTTTGGTGTAACCATGAACTGCTTCACCATATTCTGCTAGAAGCCCTTTGTAGCTCTTGCCATAGACAAGCCCATAGGGAGTTGCTCCCTTGACAACACTGGCAAGTCCAAAGTGCATGATCTGACCCAATCTTGGTACCAAGTCTTGACTGCACACCTTCAATGAAAGTTACTGCAGTGTTCCCTGACAGAAATGAATGACCTCCAAGCTTTGAGGCAATCAATCTGGTAGTGATTACAAGTAGTTCCCGGGCAAGCCGGGCAAGCCGGCGGCGTAAGTTTCCAAAAGAATAAACCTATAGGAAATGGGCATGTGGCAGGCTGATTCGCCGAGCTGCGATGTTCTTTGACAAAACAAGTTGGAACCGACCAATGGAGCGAACGCGAAGCAACCACCGTCAACTGTCTCGCAGGCAAAAACGTTGTTCATGCATTTTTGCAAAATACAGAATAGAGATGACTCAGCCATGAACTAAAGTTGTACTACAAAGTCGCCAGCTCCACGGCTTGCTCCGCGTACTAGAGTTGTACTACAAAGTCGCCAGTTCTCAGCTTCCAGCTCCACAGACACTCCGCGTACTAAAGTTGTACTACAAAGTCGCCAGTTCTCGGCCTCCAGCCCCAGATTGCTCCGCGTACTAAAGTTGTACTACAAAGTCGCCAGTTCTCATCTTCCAACTCCCCAGATACTCCGCGTACTAAAGTTGCACTACAAAGTCGCCAGTTCTCAGCTTCCAGCTCCACAGATTGCTCCGCATACTAAAGTAGTACTACAAAGTCGCCAGTTCTTATCTTCCAGCTCCCCAGATACTCCGCGTACTAAAGTTGTACTACAAAGTCGCCATTTCTCATCTTCCAGCTCCCCAGATACTCCGCGTACTAAAGTTGTACTACAAAGTCGCCAGT